AACAGTCTCGGGCCCCTGACACTTATTGTATGGTCTCTTAACGTGCTAGTGACACCCCTGCTTTTCATTGGGGGGATGTTGCATCGTCTGCCAAGTCTTTTGCTTTCGTAGTGAGTGATTTTCGTGTGCAAGTTCGGTACTAGTCCCTCTAGGATTTTCCAGGTGTATATAATCATGTATCTCTCCCGCCTGCGTTCCAGGGAATACAGGTTCAGGAACCTCAAGCGCTCCCAGTAATTGAGGTGTTTTATCTCCATTATGCACGGCATGAAGGTTCTCTGTACATTTTCTAGGTCAGCAATTTCACCTGCCTTGAAAGGTGCTGTTAGTGTGCAGCAATATTCCAGCCTAGATAGAACAAGTGACCTAAAGAGTGTCATCATGGGCTTGGCATCCCTAGTTTTGAAGGTTCTCATTATCCATCCTGTCATTTTTCTAGCAGCTGCGATTGATACAATGTTATGGTCCTTGAAGGTGAGATCCTCCGACATGATCACTACTCCCAGGTCTTTGACGTTGGTGTTTCGCTCTATTTTGTGGCCAGAATTTGTTTTGTACTCTGATGAAGATTTAATTTCCTCATGTTTACCATATCTGAGTAATTGAAATTTCTCATCGTTGAACTTCATATTGTTTTCTGCAGCCCACTGAAAGATTTGGTTGATGTCTGCCTGGAGCCTTGCAGTGTCTGCAATGGGAGACACTGTCATGCAGATTCGGGTGTCATCTGCAAAGGAAGACACGGTGCTGTAGCTGACATCCTTGTCTATGTCTGATATGAGGATGAGGAACAAGATGGGAGCGAGTACTGTGCCTGTGCTGTAGCTGCCTCGGACTTTACTCTGTTGACTACTACTCTCTGTGTTCTGTTAGTGACGAAATTATAGATCCATCGACCGACTTTTCCTGTTATTCCTTTAGCACGCATTTTGTGCGCTATTACGCCATGGTCACACTTGTCGAAGGCTTTTGCAAAGTCTGTATATATTACATCTGCATTCTTTTTGTCTTCTAGTGCATCTAGGACCTTGTCGTAGTGATCCAATAGTTGAGACAGACAGGAGCGACCTGTTCTAAACCCATGTTGCTTTGGGTTGTGTAACTGATGAGTTTCTAGATGGGTGGTGATCTTGCTTCTTAGGACCCTTTCAAAGATTTTTATGATATGGGATGTTAGTGCTATCGGTCTGTAGTTCTTTGCTATTGCTTTACTGCCCCCTTTGTGGAGTGGGGCTATGTCTGTTGTTTTTAGTAACTGTGGGACGACCCCCGTGTCCATGCTCCCTCTCCATAGGTTGGAAAAGGCTCGTGATAGAGGCTTCTTGCAGTTCATGATGAACACGGAGTTCCATGAGTCTGTGTGTGATAAATTAGACACATGTGCAACACTTGGGTATCTTTATTGAGGAAACGTTTCGCCACACAGTGGCTTCATCAGTCCATACAAAGGAGAATCTTGAAGAACAGGAGGAGAATGAGGTAATCAGTCCCTCAACCTTGAGTCGATGTGGTCAGTCTATCAATCTTGAATAGAATACGGCATACGTGCTAAGAAGGAGCTTATAAACCGTTGGCAGGAGAGGTGTAGCAGTCATAGGTCGTGTAACATTTGTTCAATGTTGAAGTAGGTCGTGCCCAAGAATTAGGCAAGCGAAGAATTCCCAAGTATGTGATGAATGGTTTGAAAAACCGACAAGTTGAAGATTGAGACACTTATGCAGCATATGGGAATCTTTATTCAGGAAACGTTTCGCCACACAGTGGCTTCATCAGTCCAATACAAAGAGGAAGGCGTAAGGAGAGGAGGAGAATGAGGTAATCAGTCCCTCAACCTGGAGTCGATGTGTTCAGTCCATCAATGTTGTAGAATGTACAGCATAGTGCCGTAGACGTGGCTTATATACTGTAGTGAGGTGAGGTGAAGCAGGCGGAGGCGGGGTCATAGTGGTACCATCCACTAGTCGAAGTAGGTCTTCGTCCAAAGGTTGAACAAGTGTTGAAGAATTCTTTGTAACAAGATCCCATGATGCTGCAGTGTCTGACAGTTGTGATGAATGGTTTGAAAAACCATTGAACACTTGTTCAACCTTTGGACGAAGACCTACTTCGACTAGTGGATGGTACCACTATGACCCCGCCTCCGCCTGCTTCACCTCACCTCTCAAATCCAGAGGGACCTGTCCTCCCAACATCTGAGTTCTTACCTCTCCTAGTGACCTACGTCTCAACTCTTGGCGCTATATATAAGGCTCCATCCTGTCGCTTCCTCTCCATATTGTTTCATACCATGGAACAATGCTCTTCTCCAGACTGAGGGACTGACCACCTCAAAACTTTAAGGGTGATGGACTGATTACATCGTCTTCAAGTATCTTCTGCTTCTATCAACTTTTCTGTACTCGACTGAAGAAGCCTACTGTGTAGGCGAAACGTTTCGAAATAAAGATACCTAACTGTTGCATATGTGTCTTACCTAACAACCTGTCGGTATTTTATACCATTTTAATGTTCAATCTGTCTGACACTGCAACACAAGGGTATCTTGGTACAGACCTACAATCAACTTCGACAACCTCTACTAGTGAGAACGGCTGGATTTGAGAGGGACCTGTCCTCTCAACATCTGAGTTCTTACCTCTCCTAGTGACCTACGTCTCAACTCTTGGCGCTATATATAAGGCTCCATCCTGTCGCTTCATCTCCATATTGTTTCATACCATGGAACAATGCTCTTCTCCAGACTGAGGGACTGACCACCTCAAAACTTTAAGGGTGATGGACTGATTACATCGTCTTCAAGTATCTTCTGCTTCTATCAACTTTTCTGTACTCGACTGAAGAAGCCTACTGTGTAGGCGAAACGTTTCGAAATAAAGATACCTAACTGTTGCATATGTGGATTATGTATACCCCTGCAGAGGGTGGAAGCTTGTCCTGTCTATCACTGGTAATGTCCTTGATGGTCGTGGTTGTGGAGGTAGATACTTGGAATGAGGTATTGGAAAAGATGTTGGAAACGTGTTTGGCAATGAAGTTGGTGGGGAGGATTATGTATCTCTTCTCGGCAGTGTCTTCTCTGGGTGTGTTGAAGATGTTTAATGCCCGCCGTCTACAGTCTCTGATGAAGTGACGAGGATAGTGGAGTTTAGAAAATACTTGTTCAATTATCGTGCATTCTTCTTCAAGAAACTCATTGCTGCAGATTCTGAGTGCACGCAGGAAGAAGCCTATAATTACACCACGTTTTGTTTTGGTGTCGTGGCGAGAGTAGAAGTGGAGAAGATCGTTTTGGTTGATGGGTTTTCGATAGACTTTAAAACGAAGTTCGTGGTCAACTTTGCAGAGCAGAACATCAAGGAAAGGAAGAGTGTTGTCGACTTCTTCAAGTGTGAACTGGATTGTAGAAGGTCTGCTCACAAATTTATCCAATCTCATTTCCAAGCTACCCAAGATTTTAGACTCTATAACCCCACTCGGTACATCATCAGATGCAGCATTCTCCACCTGACCTCAGCATTCTGAACCTGACTATAAATACTCGCGTCCCTTCCACCCCAGGAAGATCTGTTTGTGACTTGAGAAAGCCCACTGTGTGGGCGAAACGTAGTCAATAAAGGATCATATTATACTGCATATGTGTTTATATTTCCACCTCCTGAAACATCAGCCCCACCTTCGCCACAACCACGATCAACTAAGCAAGCCTCGACACAACCACCTTTACGTATTGAGTCACCTCAACCTGCAGAAGAGGAACAACCGATCAGATCCACTGGCCCTCTCACCATTTACACAAGTAACCCACTACTCATATCACCGGTTGCCGCCCTGGCAGTCTATCAGATCAAACATGGGACTATGAAATATGTTGTGCAAGAATGGTATATAATACCGACAAGATGAAATTAAGACACATGTGCAACATCTGGGTATCTTTATTGTAGACCTTTCGCCATCCAGTGGTTATGTCCTGTTATGTCCTGGAATTTGTATTGATGAAGCTACTGGATGGCGAAACGTCTACAATAAAGATACCCAGATGTTGCACATGTCTTAATTTCACTATGAAATATACCGTTGCCCCTGGATGTGACCAACAAACTCATACAATCGAGTGTACTCTCGTATCAAAAACTGCATTCCGGCGACTTCAAAGTGGATCCAAGACCGGGCGCTAGGACAAGCAAAAGCCCGCATATCTCAACGTAGATGCCACCTCTCCAACTCACCAGAGTTATCATCGTTTCCTACCTCGTCCTGTGACTAACCTACTGCTACAAGACCAACGCGACTGAGACTATCTGTTCCTGTTCTCAAGTCTGTCCCACGATCGCCTTCGCTGCTGGGTTAAGCTCTGGCTCTATTTCTACGACTAAGAACACTCCTCTCCAGCGCTATTCTTCGTCTGTCCCGTCTTCCCAGCTCATCCCATTGGGATCTTACCTGCACTTGTTCGTTCGTTCGTCCTATGCTGCACTTCTTACAAGAGTGATGGACTGAACACATCGATTCCAGGTTGAGGGACTGATTACCTCAAACTTCTACTCTCCATACCCATTTCTACTTTGTATTGGACTGATGAAGCCACTGTGTGGCGAAACGTTTCTTCAATAAAGATTCCCATGTGTTGCATAAGTGTCTCAATTCTTCACTACTACTACTACTACTACTACTACTACTACTACTACTACTACCACTACCACAACTACTTCCATTACTATCTCCCTGTCGTTTTTCACGTACCTGTGTGTCTGGTGCAGCCTTCATCATGGTACTACACTCTCCTGGACACAATATTAAAAGTGCCGCCATTTTGAACTTCCCGCCTCTGGCCGCCCTGACATTCACAAAATATTTTAAGTCGGAAAATGGAAAATATATCTATTTAACGTAACTTTTAAGCACATAACGTATATAATAAAGTTATTAATAATTCCGAGGCTCATAACAGTGGTTATTGCAGGCCATAATAGAGAATTTTTGAAAATTATTTATGGAGGCCTGAGCAGCTGTTGTAGTGGTCGTGACTTATGTGAAAGTGCAGCTCCTGGGTCACCATTTGGACTCCATACTCCTGTGAGCTGAGTGTGGGCGCCTCCATGGGTTGTGTCACATAATACTGGGTATTATATAGGCACATCTGGGAGGCCTAGACTCCCATAATCAGGCCTACTCAGAATTTTTTTTTTTCCCGTGGAAATTTTTGATTTGGGGGGGGTGAAGATTTTCGTTTTTTTTGGTGATAATGGCGGATAAACTAGGCCTAGATGGTGAAGTGAAGGACCTGAAGCTGGGAGAAACATTTAATAAGAACTACAAGGAAGGAGCCTATCACACCATAAGATGTAAGTCACTCCCACCATCCCGTACGGGTTTACCGCTTTCTTGATCTTCCCTTGGGTTCCCTCGGCGCCGGTGAGGGGGTCTTGATCCGAGGAAGGGGAGGGGGTGGCTTCACACACACTTAATATGTAAGCCCCTAGAACCCCTACGGGTTTACAGCTTTTTTGTTTATGGTCTCCATATGGGTTTGCAGCTTTTTGTTAGTAGTCACCATACGGGTTTACAGCTTTTTGTTAGTAGTCACCATACGGGTTTACAGTTTTTTGTTTGCAACTCCATACGGATTTACAGCATTTTTGTTTGTAGTTTCCATATGGGTTTATAGCTTTTTGTTTGTAGTCACCATACGGGTTTACAGCTTTTTGTCCGTAGTCTCCATACAGGTTTACAGCTTTTTGTCCGTAGTCTCCATACAGGTTTACAGCTTTTTGTCCGTAGTCTCCATACAGGTTTACAGCTTTTTGTCCGTAGTCTCCATACAGGTTTACAGGTTTTGTTATTCTCCATACGGGTTTATCACTTTGGTTATTCCCCATATGGGTTTACAGCCTTCGTTTATCTCGTTCCTCGGTGTTGGTGAGGCTCTTCATCCAAGGAAGGAGATCATACCAAGAAATGTAAGTCATTCGCCTCTGGCACCCCTATGGGTTTACTGCATTTATATTATCCCCTTTAGGCTGCTTGGTGAGGGGCTCTTGGTCCATGGAATGGGAGTCACTCCTTTCTTGGATCAACTCTAACTCATTTCCCAGGTGCTGTTACCCCTGTGGGTTTAGCACTCTGCTGTGAATGTAAAAAAAAATATATTTTACTGCTAGATGGCACCTTAAAAGATTTTTTCGAATTAACCCCAGAGGGATAATGGTCGGGATTTTGGATCATGTCTAGTCTGGGTTTGATCCCAGGAAGGGGAAATGTGTGGCACGTTTTCTTGTTTACGTAACAGGATGTAATGATTGACCGGCGTGGGTCGCATCCTGGGGGAGATGATCACTGGTGCTGCCAAGCAGATAGGCCAGACGTGGTGGATTTTTGGCTTTTTTTAAAAAAACACGTGAGCAAGCACTTGGTAACGCCTGAAACGTTTCATAATAAATATGTCGTAGCATTTATTCACATTTAAATAAATTTCTCGTTATCAATTACCAAGGTTTATCTAGTTTACTGGGTTATCCTGGGTTATTAAACCCAAATGCATTGCATACTAGTGGCTATTTTGTGCGTAATAATACTTTACTGCATGTACAATGAAGGTGCTCCTTGACTTCCGTTATTTCAACTTTACGATGGTGCAAAAGCAATTACAGTGGACCCCCGGTTTACGATCAGCTCCCAGTGCGACCAATTATGTAAGTGTATTTATGTAAGTGTGTTTGTACGTGTATGTTTGGGGGTCTGAAATGGACTAATCTAATTCACAATATTTCTTATGGGAACAAATTCGGTCAGTACTGGCACCTGAACGTACTTCTGGAATGAAATAATGTCGTAAACCCGGGGTCCACTGTACTTTGGAGATGGAACGTGAGATAATTACCCAATATGAAGGCAGAAAGTCCGTAACTTATATTCATTTATTTGCTTTCCACTACTGGTATTTAGTTATAGTAATTTATTTATTTATTCAATGATGGTAGTTATTTAGTTATTTAGATTATAATGTTCATATTCGATTTACGACGTCTTCAACTTATGATGGGTTTGTCGGAGCATAACCTTATTGTAAGTCGAGGACCCCAATGGAAATAAGTCACTTTGTTTTACTTTTTTGGGTTATCCCAGGTTCTCTACATATATGCTGCTATGTATGATAATCTATGTAACTGTATATGTGTATACCTGAATAAACTTGTACACTATATTTGTACCACATAAAAAAACTACAAATTTCATTTTGAATGTGTTTATTTCCTGGTAAGAACTGTGCCAGGAGCTGTGGCACGACCCCTGCAGCCACATGTAGGTGGGCACACTTTCCACAACACACCCACATTCATAATGTGGGTAATGCACTTATCTTTGCTGGAAGTTATTTTTCTGACATGCTGCCCTGATTAAAAACACTGTAAAGGGGAAATTTTGAGATGAAATTAGTGGTGGTAGCGCACGCACGTACAATAACAAACTGATGTGGGTCGAGTTAGTAGCCCTGTTACCCAGGAACAAAGAAAATAGACAAGTCCAGGATAATGCTTGCAAAGTACGAACTTGCGAGTTGGTACAACTGGACTGAATAGTCATTCTGTGTAACATATTTGCTCTGCTTCATGGCTTCTTTAATTGGACATCCCATTAAACATATACAGTGGACCCCCGGTTTACGATCAGCTCCCAATGCGACCAATTATGTAAGTGTATTTATGTAAGTGCATTTGTACGTGTATGTTTGGGATCAGAAATGGACTAATCTAATTCACAATATTCCTTATGGGAACAAATTCGGTCAGTACTGGCACCTGAACATACTTCTGGAATGAAATAATATCGTAAACCCGGGGTCCACTGTATTTGAGCCTATGTCCAGTCAATTTTTTTTTCTTTTGTCCTTTTTGCTGATGTCCACTTTATGAGGTCTGTTTTATCAGACATTTATTTTTCCAGTTTATTGGTTGTCTAAAGATCATTAAGTAGTGGGCTGGTAGACAACAACCGTCTAGGAAGGCTTTACTGTCCTGTCAAATAAGTATGCTATGTAAACCTGTAAATTTTTTACTGGCAAAATTGCTGATCTTTTTACTGTCTGATAAATGGCTAAGATGACAAGTAATCTTACGAACTTTTACTTGTTTTCAGTATACACATTACAGTATTGTCCAGGGAGCTTGTTAATAGTTATGAATTTTGCAATATTTTCGTTTCATCCTGCCCGATATGTACGAAATGCACTGAAGTATGTTCTAGTGGCACCCTCTGTAATCAGTATTTTACTACATGTAAACCACACAATAACCAAATTCTGTAAACTCAGCATTGTAATCCTTATAGAGAATAAACTTTGAATTTGAATTACAAGTAAACTACATTTTGTATACTGCAGAAAAGAAATAGTTGTATAGGAGGCTTGGTCTCAGACTAGGCTGTGGGGAAGATCATACTCAGAGCCACTAACAAATATATAACGGATCGTGTAGTACATATGTCTGGCAATTGGTGCTCTCAGCACTAAATCAACTTAACCATCAAGACCCACTTGATCAGGAACTACTTGGAGGAACTTTACAATTTCCTTCTTAACCCTTAAATTGTCGAAACGTAGATCTACGTTGATGTGCATAGTGCTCCGAACGTAGATCTATATCCGATTTTGCATGCTTTCAAATGGAGAAAATGAAGGTTGGAGCGCTGCGGACATCAACGTAGATCTACGTTTGGACAGTTCAAGGTTTAAAGACATGGGTGTGTTGGTATTTCTTATATGTGAGAGAGTATTGAAAGTATATTGCACATTTTTGTGTATATTTACATATGTATTTTGACCTGCAAGCTGCTGGCAGTTCAGACCTTGTCAGTCATCACAGAAGTCTTGCTTCATGGTAGGCTGGAAATGTAGAGACATCATTGTAACTGATCTCGAGTACATTATTGGTACAGTTGTATACAGTAAGTCCTCAAATTACAAAAACATTGGTGACCTGAATTGTGTATAATGATATAATAATGATATACAGCCTCTCCTCAATTAACAACGGAGTTCCGGTCCTAAAATCACGTCTGTAAATGAATTCGTTGCTAAGTGAGGAGCATACTATAATGGTAGTGGGTTTGTGTTAACCATCTTTGATATTATTTTAATGTTACCTTTGCACCATTTATAACATTTCTGATATACTTTTAAATGTTTATACAGTAGTGTACTGTATATTGTAATAAACAGAGTAGAGGAAATCAGCTCTAATATACATTATTTAGTCATGCATTCTGGTCAGAGAGCCCGTCGTAAGTCCGAGGAGTTGGTTAACGAGTTTGTCACTAAGTGAGGAGAGGCTGTACACATTATTGATTTAACCCTTAAACTGTCTAAACGTAGATCTACGTTTGCGCGTGTAGCGCTCCGACCTTGATTTTCTCCCTAAGAAAGAATGTAAAAAAAAAAGTAGATCTACGTTTGGAGCGCTACGCGAGCAAACGTAGGTCTTAGTTTGGACAGTTAGAGGGTTAATAATGATATTATACACATTAATGATATACACAGTACAGAAGATTCTCAGTGTGTTTGTAATATGAGGACTTGCGGTACAATTTATTTAAAACATGTTTGACTCTTTGTATTGTATCTCTTCAATGTTTTAATATTTTCAGATGACTTCAAGCCAGCCAGTGTTGACAAACAGAAAATGGGCACGGTGGAAGTGGAAGGAAATCACCAGGTGTCTGTGACTGTGCCGCACGTTGAGGGTTCTGGCACATCCCAGACCGTCTTCAAGGGAAACCATAAGCCCGTTGCCAAAGAATGCATCCTCATCATTGACCACGTCACCGGGGAGATTGTGCTGGAACGCATATCACAAACCATCAGTGTTAAAACCACTAGGTAAGATTTTTCTGTGTTATTCTGGGTTCAGGTTCTGTGATCTGCTTCTTTCACTGGGGTTCCTTGATGCTAATGAAAGGCTTGTCATAAAGGTTCATACTTGATTGCCTCCCATTCCCTAAGTGTTATATACTTGCTCCCTAAAGAATAAAAATTCACAAAACTCTGACTGGAACAATACACAAATAACCCGCACATAGCAGAATGTAACTCATGACATTTCGGTCCAAGTCGGACTGAAACATTATCGTGTTTTATTCTCCTGTGTGCAGGTTATTTGTGTACATGTTCCCTGTAGGTTTTACACTTTCCCTTGAATATAATAATAACAGTAATTATAATAATAATCCTTGAACCACTAAAAGGAATTGTACTGTAACCTGTTAGTACAGCCTCCATAATACAATATAATAGATTTACTGTATTAATGGTAAACAATACAGACAAGTTGATGAATTAAACATATATGCAATACCTGGGTATAAAGATACCCAGGTGTTGCTCATGTCTAATGTGGTAATAGACTTTCTAGTTATCACTGATCAGTAAATTATTTGCCAACTTTTGACAGAGGTTTCTGTCTCCATTTAGTTACAGTACCTTAACCCTTTCAGGGTTTCGGCCGTACTAGTACGGCTTACGCACCAGGGTTTTTGACGTACTAGTACGCCTAAATTCTAGTGCCCTCGAATCTAGTGAGAGAAAGCTGGTAGGCCTACATATGAAAGAATGGGTCTATGTGGTCAGTGTGCACAGTATAAAAAAATCCTGCAGCACACAGTGCGTAATGAGAAAAAAAAAACTTTGACCGTGTTTTTGGATTAAAACAGCGACTTTGCACTGTATTTTCATATGGTAGTTATTGTTGTATTCTAGTTTTCTTGGTCTCATTTTATAGAATGGAAGACATATTACAGAAATTGAGATGATTTTGATTGGTTTCACAATGAAAAGTATCTTGAAATTGAGCTCAAAGTAGCAGAAATGTTATAATTTTACCAAAGATCAAAAGTAAACAAATCGTGCCAAGCGTCCAATACACGTCAACTAGTGAGTCTAATATTCTTTCACAAGTGAGCTGATATTATTTATACCATTTCTACACTAACGCAGTTGTCTGCATAACTGCAAATCTTCTATTTTTTAGTGAGAATAAAAATTCAAAGTGGAAAGAAAAAGAATGTAAGAGGGGCCTGGGGGCGTGACTAATCAACAGAGGAAATGTTATTTTAGTGCCAGGAATGTCTTTCTTGTTTATTCTGGATTCTATTCAAAAATTGGCATCTTTTGAAATTTTTGTGAAATTGGCAAAATTGCTAAATTCTGACCACTGTATTGGATAGTTAAAATCAGTAAATGGGTGGTTTCTTGTACTCATTCGATAGAAAAAATGGAGTTCAAGCGAAATAGTTATGATTTTTGTCGACTAGTACACTGGAATTGGCCGAAAATAGGGCTGAAAGTGGGCAAAATCGCCGATGCCTAAACATCGTCGAGACGGCTAACTTCGCAACAGCATAATTTCGTAAGTTTTCCATCAAATTTCATACTTTTGGTGTCATTATGATCGGAAAAAGATTCTCTATCTTTTCATAAAAAAATTATTTTTTTTTTTTTTTGAAATTTGGTCGACCCTGAGAACAAGTCTTGGAGAGGCCCTGTCGACCCTCAAAGGGTTAATACATTCATATCTTTCAACTCTTGTTGAAGAAGCCTACTGTGTACGTTTCGGATTAAAGATACCTAACTGTTGCACATGTCTTACTTATCAACATGTCAGTATTGTATACCATTTTCATGTTCAACCTGCTCCTCCCTTTTGAAGAGCAGCAGTCAAAATTACTTTTGCTGGGCACTTACTGTTCACACACCAGGATGCATTATTCGGTGTATTTACCCAAACTTTGGGTGGATTTTACTGGAGCCTTCTACTCTAACAGTGATGTGAGTCTTGCTATTTTGGTGGGTCACGTGCCACTTCCTTGCTCCCATCTTGAACTTACTATATTCAGAGGACTTGATTTACACTGTGATTCTTCCAGTCTTTTGTCTTGGCCATCCATTTTATGGCTCTGAATACAGAATATGTATACATAAATAGCCCTCACATGGGAGAGAGAGAAGCATACTAAGTAAATGGTTCAAATCAGACCAAAATGTTGTCATAAGCTTCTCTTGTTTACAGGTTATTTGTGTATTATTCCAGCCACAGTATTTTTTTTTTTTCAGAATATATATAAAGCTTTGGTGTTTGTTAAAGTACTTTCTATGAAGCATTGTGTGTGTGACAGTGTCTGTTACCTTCCATTGTCAGCTGCTTTAAATGGAGGTGATGGCTGGCTGGTGCTTTGGTCAGCAAAGGGTACACAGGTGTCCTGAGAAAATGTACAGTGGTGACTTGTTGTAGAACAGTGTTTCTGGTATTCCATATGGCCAAAAGTGTTTCTTGTTCTAAAATCTAGAGGTTATAGAGAGAGGTTGCTATCTCTATTTTCTTGTAGAAATGCATTGTTACTGCCTCTTTGAGGGTGTGCCTTGATTCTGGTTAAGAGCTCTTGATCCATGGAATTCAAGCTCACCTTACATTATAGGTTCAGCACTTTTCCATGAATGAAATGACGTTGGCTTGTAGTGATCTAAAAATTGTTGTTGATTATTTTTAACATGCATTTGTTTCCTTTTGTTCTACTTAAAAAATGAATATTTTTTTTTGGCTAATTCTCTCTCCCTCAGACCTGAAGGAAGCAGCAGACTTCCAACACAGCGACCGACAACGCCTCTAGATCCATCGTCACGGAGGAATTCCCCTCCACAGAAATGCTCACCTTCCCACTCCATTTCCCGTGGTTCTTCTAATGCACTTTCAAAACCTTCTCCGTCACATCTAGCATCTCCACATGCCAGATCTCCTCTTCCTAACAAGAGTCCCAACAATAATCACTGCACAGCTCCTGGATCAATGCCAATGTTGGGTCTTGAAGAATCTGATACTGTCACTAAGGTAAGACATGAGGGACGTTTCAGTTCAGAGGGTTTTTTGAGTTGCAATGTATGCATAACTCGGAACAGGTTGGAAGATTCTGGCTGCAAGAGTTTTCTTTCTCTCAATTATTAGATGAAGTATCAAACATCTTCCAGGTCTTGTGCTGAGGCACCCCTTATGGGTTTAGCACTTCATATAATAATAATAATACTGCACTAGTAATAATTATTTTGGGAAGAAAACTAGAGACCAAATGATTGTTAAAGTTACAAAAAGTTTACAGTAATAGAAATTGCTGTAAGAGGAGTACTGTACTTTTATATTTGCCAATATTTTGTATTCTGAGAGCAATAGGCTAGTAACCCCTTCTCCTGTATACATTACTAAAGTTAAAAAGAGAAACATTTGTGTTTCTTTTTGGGTCACCCTGCCTCGGTGGGATATGGCCAGTTTATTGAAAGAAGATTTTGTATTTTGATATACCCAGTAACACCGGGGAGGCAAGTTTTATTGTTGCTTGAGATTTGGCAAATAATCTATGTAATCTCTAACGTGCTGTAGTGCCAGAAACTCCCAGCTGTGAATAATTGGATATGTGGATGATCTACTATGGCTTAACCATTTGGTCCCATTGTTGTACATGATGAGCTCAGCTCCTTCATTTAAACTGTGTGGGGTAAATTTGGGCCTGTACATGAAAGAATGAGTCTCTGTGCACCATATAAAAAAATTGTGCAGCACACTGCATAATGGTAAAAAAATGCGACTTTTTGGTTTAAAACAGCGACTTTGTAGTGTATTTTCGTATGGTTTTTATGGTTGTCTTCTTGGAATGGAATGGAAGATATATTACAGAAATAGAGATGATTTTCATTAGTTTCAGGACTGACAACTTGAAATTGAGCTCTAAGTATCAGAAATATTCGATTTTTGTCAATATCCCAGGGTACACAAATTGTCACTTGCCCAATGTGTCCAACTGGTCAGTCTAATACACGTTTAGGAATGTGCTGACATTATTTATGCAATTATTACAATAATTCAGTTATCTGTGTTACAGTAAATCTATTTTTCTGAATAAAAATTCAAGATGGAAAGCAAGCATAATATAGGTGAACCCTGGGGAGATAAACAGAGAAAATGTGGTTTTAGTACTAGGAACATTACTATTATTATAATCAAGGGGGAAGCGCTAAACCCGGAGGATTATACAGCACCTGGGGGGGGGGGGATGTGGAAGGCATTCAGGCTTAATTCGGGGAACTGGAGCACAGATCCAATTCCCTAAATCAAGAGCCCCTCACCAACATCAAGGAACCTTCCTTGAGGGGAGTACTAGGAACATCTACTTTGTTTATTCTGGACCCCATTTTTAAATTGGCAATTTTTTAATTTTGTGTGACATTGGGTGAATTGCTGATTTCCAGTCTATTAGGTAACTGAAATAGGTAAATGGGCAGTTTCTTGTACTCAGTCAATAGAATAGAAGTATTTTTTTTTTATTGACACACTGGCCAGTTCCCACCAAGGCAGGGTGGCCCGAAAAAGAAAAACTTTCACCATCATTCACTCCATCACTGTCTTGCCAGAGGGGTGCTTTACACTACAGTTTATAAAACTGCAACATTAACACCCCTCTTTCAGAATAGAAGGAATACTAGCAAAATAGCTGAGTGGTCATCTGGAACAATGGAACTGGCCAAAAACAGGCCTCAAAGTGGGCAAAATCGCCAATGTAAAAATACAGTGGACCCCCCGACCAACGAAGGCATCGTCTAATGATAAATTCGACTAATGAAGTGTTTGAACGTAAAAATTTTGGCCCGACCAACATGATTCATCCCGAATGCATCCATGTGTCCCGTCTGGCCTGAATGCGCCTTAGCTGCCCTGCCTTCAGTTAGTATGCCAGTGTTTACAGGCCAGTGAGGTTGCTTCCACGCATACATTCGGTACATTTTGTATTATTCCACTGTTTTTAGTGCTTGTAACTGCTAAATAAGCCACCATGGGCCCCAAGAAAGCTTCTAGTGCCAACTCTGTGGTAAAAAGGGTGAGAATTACAATTGAAATGGAGGAGATAATTAATAAGTATGAAAGTGGAGTGCGTGTCTCCAAGCTGGCCGGGTTGTGTAACAAACCCCAATCAACCATTGCTACTATCTTGGCCAACAGAAAGGCAATCAAGGAAGCTCTTGTTGCGGAAGGTGCAAATATGTTTTCGAAACACAGATCGCAAGTACTTGAAGATGTTGAGATACTTTTGTTGTTGTGGATAAATGAGAAACAGATATCAGGAGATAGCACCTCTTGGTCAATAATACGTGAAAAGGCAAGGCAGTTGCATGACGATTTAATTAAAAAAATGCCTGCAACTAGTGGTAATGTGAGTGAATTTAAGGCCAGCAGAGGTTGGTGTGAGAGATTTAAGAATCATAGTGGCATACACAGTGTGATAAGGCATGGTGAGGTTCCCAGTTCGGACAAAAAAGTGGCTAAAAAATCTGTGCAGGAATTCCTGCGGTACATAGAGCCTGAAGGATTGCAACCCCAACAAGTGTTTAATTGTGATGAAACATGCTTGTTTTGGAAGAAAATGCCAAACAGGATCTACATTACACAGGAGGAAAAGCACTGCCAGGACACAAGCCTATGAAAGACAGGCTAACCTTAATGTTGTGTAGTAATGCTAGTGGGGATTGCAGAGTGAAGCCTCTACTCATGTATCACTCTGAAACTCCCAGAGTGTTCAGGAAAAGCAGTGTCATCAAGGCTAATTTGTGTGTGATTTGAAGAAGCCTTCTCTGAAGGTGAAGATATCAAGGTATTGCATTTGTTTTATTCCTTTAGTTGGGGCTGTATGTCAGCCACAACCCTCCATAGTGCCAACAGTGGGTTGCTCAGAAAACTAATTTCTGGTAATCTATAGAAATAACACCTGTATCGCTTGTTTGTTTTGTCCCCTTTGACATGTACGGTGGGCCTCATTTTACAGCACGTCGCTGTACAGTGGTTTGTTAATGCAGCAGTTTTCTGTTGTACCCATTCTTTATTCAGACTTCCTACAATAATTATATTCATCAGTCATAAGCTAAGGATGAAAATATTTTAAGGTACGTAATATGTGTGCTGTATATGCATTTTTTAGGCCTGGCTCTATTGCTTACCTAATATGATATGCATTTGAAAGTGAAAAAAGGCTGTTTCACTTTACAGCAATTATTGCTTTACAGCGGTAGCCTGGAACTTAACCTGCTGTGTGAACGGGGCCTTACTATGTTTACAGATACAAATACAGCCTCTCCTCACTTAGCGACGTACAGTGGACCCCCGGCTTGTGATGTTAATCCGTTCCTGAGAGCTCATCGTAAACCAAAATTATCGAAAAGCGAATCAATTTTCCCCATAAGAAATATTTTTTATTATTTTTTTTATTATCACACCGGCCGATTCCCACCAAGGCAGGGTGGCCCGAAAAAGAAAAACTTTCACCATCATTCACTCCATCACTGTCTTGCCAGAAGGGTGCTTTACACTACAGTTTTTAAACTGCAACATTAACACCCCTCCTTCAGAGTGCAGGCACTGTACTTCCCATCTCCAGGACTCAAGTCCGGCCTGCCGGTTTCCCTGAATCCCTTCATAAATGTTACTTTGCTCACACTCCAACAGCACGTCAAGTATTAAAAACCATTTGTCTCCATTCACTCCTATCAAACACGCTCACGCATGCCTGCTGGAAGTCCAAGCCCCTCGCACACAAAACCTCCTTTACCCCCTCCCTCCAACCCTTCCTAGGCCGGACCCCTACCCCGCCTTCCTTCCACTACAGACTGATACACTCTTGAAGTCATTCTGTTTCGCTCCATTCTCTCTACATGTCCGAACCACCTCAAAAACCCTTCCTCAGCCCTCTGGACAACAGTTTTGGTAATCCCGCACCTCCTCCTAACTTCCAAACTACGAATTCTCTGCATTATATTCACACCACCCCATTGCCCTCAGACATGACATCTCCACTGCCTCCAGCCTTCTCCTCGCTGGGAACATTCATCACCCACGCTTCAACCCATATAAGAGCGTTGTAAAACTTACTCTCATACATTCCCCTCTTTGCCTCCAAGACAAAGTTCTTTGTCTCCACAGACTCCTAAGTGCACCACTCACTCTTTTTCCCTCATCAATTCTATGATTCACCTCATCTTTCATAGACCCATCCGCTGACACGTCCACTCCCAAATATCTGAATACATTCACCTCCTCCATACTCTCTCCCTCCAATCTGATATTCAATCTTTCATCACCTAATCTTTTTGTTATCCTCATAACCTTACTCTTTCCTGTATTCACCTTTAATTTTCTTCTTTTGCACACCCTACCAAATTCATCCACCAATCTCTGCAACTTCTCTTCAGAATCTCCCAAGAGCACAGTGTCATCAGCAAAGAGCAGCTGTGACAACTCCCACTTTGTGTGTGATTCTTTATCTTTTAACTCCACGCCTCTTGCCAAGACCCTCGCATTTACTTCTCTTACAACCCCATCTATAAATATATTAAACAACCACGGTGACATCACACATCCTTGTCTAAGGCCTACTTTTACTGGGAAAAAATTTCCTTCTTTCCTACATACTCTAACTTGAGCCTCACTATCCTCGTAAAAACTCTTCACTGCTTTCAGTAACCTACCTCCTACACCATACACTTGCAACATCTGCCACATTGCCCCCCTATCCACCCTGTCATATGCCTTTTCCAAATCCATAAATGCCACAAAGACCTCTTTAGCCTTATCTAAATACTGTTCACTTATATGTTTCACTGTAAACACCTGGTCCACACACCCCTACCTTTCCTAAAGCCTCCTTGTTCATCTGCTATCCTATTCTCCGTCTTACTCTTAATTCTTTCAATTATAACTCTACCATACACTTTACCAGGTACACTCAACAGACTTATCCCCCTATAATTTTTGCACTCTCTTTTATCCCCTTTGCCTTTATACAAAGGAACTAT